TCAGAAAAACATTTTTACCAACCTTTATTCACCGAAGACACGGAGTTGTGTTGTTTCTTAGTTCCTTTGTCCATTCGGTATCTAAGCATCTAGTTAGTCAGTCATTCATAGAAAGGTAACGAAACGTTGGTGATAAGCTGTAACATCTTTATCCAATAGAATACTCCAACTTTTGAAACAGTGTCAGTTAACACCTTTATTCATCCACCCCTTCAATTACTATTTTTTATTTTCAAATTCAACGCCCCCTATCACAGAAACGAAGCGTTATGCAATCCATATTTATGGGAACTTTTATTCTTAAAATGAGGCCTTCTAACGACTCTTGAAGTCTTGCTAATGAAAAGTGAGACACCCTATATATATCCTTTTGAAATGACATGTTTTTTTATCACTAGCAAATAATTATGTAACACTGTGAAAAAAATAAATACAAAATAGCCTTAAATTATCATACCTGAGTAATCAGTAGTTTGTAGTATTTGTTTTCCATATGACATTAGGATTTGTCCTCTATTTGTGCCAGTTTAATTTTTAACGGGAACAGAAGAACAAGTACTTTTAATTATTCTTGTCGTTTTTTTTTTCAGGTATTTTTCAGTTATAGGTTTGTTCCAGCAGAAAATCACAAACGGTTTGATGCATTTTTTTATTGCGCATGTCTAAACATCAACTAGTCACGAATTAGTTGGCAATTTATACTACTAAAACGAAATTCTTGCTTCTGTTCTGCTTTTTCGCATGACATTTTATAAATAAGCTCTGTTTTTGCAATCATTCTGAATAATTTTTGTTTAAATTTCCCAAAACAATAGTATCAGAAGATAGAGCGAATTGTTTCTATCTTTATGCAAACTAGAGAATGCCACCATAGAATGTTAGGTTATTCACAAATACGTGTATAATTCAAATAGGTTTAAACGACATTTTATATTTGAACTGCGCAGAACCATGCTAAAATCTGTGGAGAATTCGCGAATTCTTGAAACAGTTTGAAACTAATCAGTAATCACTAAAGCTGGCCGAGGTCACCTGGCCGACAGAGCCGTCATATGACTCATATGTTTACATCAGATCATAATACTGGAATAAGTACAATAAATGGAAATAAATTTTAACAATAATGTTACATTTTATAAAAATTTGTATAACACCCACCCTTTTAAGCAGATTTATGAAGTAGTTTGGTTGTCGACATCACAAAGTGGGGAAGATCTATAGTATAATAGCATCAGGTATGTTTCTACAGCTGTCTCCGTCGCTTTTGTGGAAAAATATGTTTGTATTTTGAAAATGACCGTTCGACATCTACGGATGTAATACAGGCATAAGTAAAACAATCTGTGAACTCACTTAACGAAGTTGTAGATGCACCATCACAAATTTGTCTTAATTTGCTAAAATTAGGATCTTTCTGTAATACACTCGAATTTTTCACTAACGCGATTATTTTTTGCGTCATTTATAGCCTGTAGCTGTGTATTTACGTCGTCCACTATTTGCAGCGATTCCACTAAGTACAACAAACTATTTTGCAATTTTTCTATTGCGTCGTGTGGTCCTCTATAATTGTTATTAATAGTTTTTAAATCTGTTTCAAGGGAAACGTCTTGAAAGCTTGTCTATCTTTCCCTAATAGCTGCAGCCTCGTTAGGGTTGAACTGTAGTATCACAGCTTTTATTTGTTGAAAATATTCAGCATAATAAAAAGCCGCTTTCAACCACGTTCCCCAACGTGTAAGAATCGGCTCTGGTGGTTCAGGGATACCAGGACACTGTGAAATACTCGAAGCCGTTTAGGAGATTTGAGAAATACTTTTTTTGTATTTGCTATTAATGCATCTACCTCTGGAAAACATTTTCGAATCGTTTCTGCCACAAGATGTAACGCATGCACTTTACACGTAACATGTAAAAACCTACAATTGTCTCTTTGAAGAGAACGGCCTACCACGCGCATTGTCGCAGCACCATCAGTCACAAACATCAATACTTGACTTGTTGAAAGATCAAATTTTTCGAATGTCTCCAACACCACACGCGTAATTATTTCGCCAGTACACGCAGTTAGTCTTTTACTAGCTAGTAAAAGTGGAAATGTTGGTTTAAGAGGGTCCAGTACACGTACTATAATATTTAAAATAGAATTTTTTTTATAATCTGTCGTCTCGTCAATACATAACCAGAGCCGTGTATTTTTTAATCCACATTTAATCCTATTTACAATGTCTTCACGAACAGCTGGAATATATCTACATAACGATGTACGACTTGGTAAGTTCACCTGGGGATTGTATTTATTCCAAAACTTCCGAAATGGTTGTTTAAACAGTATGTGTAGCGGAATATTACAGGCTATTAACATTAACAATAAATCAAACATAAACTGAGTTGTCAAAGGCATGCCATTTTTTTTATTTTGATGTTGCACGGTGTTGATATGACGACGACAATTTGTTTTGTGCCAGCACATTAAGTCTTGATTACAAACCTTACAAATTATTTTGCATCCGTCATAGAATAAATCCGGAAATTCACCGATAAATTTATTCACTGTGTCCGCGTACGGTCGTTTTTTACCCTTTGGCGCGTTTGACATTATGTATAATTTATAGGTACAACCTCACGCATTAACCTTTCAAATAAGCGTAAATCACTTATAAATCGGCACGTGTGACGCCATCGCAAGACCGTGGCTGTACTCCAGCCACCTCGGACAGCTCTAGTAATCACTAATCAATTGACTTGCTGAAACACTTAACTAGTAGTCGGAATCTTCGATTATTGTCTGCTGGAACGCCAATTTCGTTTGGCGCATGTCGAGGGCAGTCAGAAACAATCCTTAAAGAGACTGAAATATAAATGACTTTTTCGAGTATTTTTTTAAAAGTTACTGTTTTTTAAATTCTTTTTTTCTTGTTCGAAGGGTTTAGTTTTTCGAACATTTGCTAGTAGTGTTTTCTCTTATAGTCTCGGTATTATTCAATAATAAATCCAATTCAGTTTTACTTTTGTACTTAGTAGGTACGATTTGTTTTGTAACGTTTTTACATAATATATAATTATGTATGTTTGTTTATGATGAGCATTAGCAGCAGTAAATGTTAAGTGGTTGGATGTTTCTAACATATGCTTTGCTTACTCAACTATACAGTATGAGAAACGTTCGTTCTATTATTGTAATGAATATGTAAGGTACTTTAATAATTGGCACGACTACTACTTTTTCCCCCCCGCCCCCCCCCCCCCCCCCCCCCCCCTTTTTTTCCCCCCCCCCCAAACAACCCCCCCCCTTTTGGGCCGGGCCCCCCCACTCCCCCCCCCCCCCCCCCCCCCCCCCCCCCGGCGAAAAAAGGGGGGGCCCCCCCCCCCCCCCCCCCCCCCCCCCTTTTTTTTTTCCCCCCCCCCCCCCCCCCCCCCCCCCCCCCCCCCCCCCCTTCTTGTTCTCCCCTTCCCTTTCCCCCCCCCCCCCCCCTCCTCCCCCCCCTCCCCCCCCCCCCCCCCCCTCCCCCCCCCCCCCTCCCCCCCCCCCTCCCCCCCCCCCCCCCCCCCCCCCCCCCCCTCTTTCCCCCTTTTTTTCCCCCTCCTCCCCCCCCCCCCCCTCCCCCCCCCCCCCCTCCCCCCCCCCCCCCCCCCCCCCCCCCCCCCCCCCCCCCCCCCCCCCTCCCCCCCCCCCCCCCCCCCCCCCCCCCCCCCCCCCCCCCCCCCCCCCCCCCCCCCCCCCCCCCCCCCCCTTTCCCCCCCTCCCCCCCCCTCCCCTGCGCCCTGCCCCCCCCCCCCTTCCCCCCGGGCCCCCTTCCCCCTTCCCCCCCTTTCCCCCCCTTTCCCCCCTTCCCCCCTTCTCCCTGCCCCTTCCCCTTTCCCCCCTTGGCCCTTGGCCTTCCCCCTCCTCCCCCTCCCCTTTCCCCCCCCCTTTTTTTTTTTTTCCTCTTCCCTTTTGATATTTTAAATCGTGAGCCATTTCAAATATAAATGTGTCCATTCTAGTTAGAAGCAGTGGTGTTGGTACATAACTATTTCTCTTTTTAATCGGGGCTGTAGTCTATTATCTGTTTTGAAATCAGCGTGGAACGATCCCAGATCGGATCCGAACGGCCAATTATGCAAGAAAATCAAGAAAAATTCAATAGAAATGTTAAATACGGTACTTATTTTTGTACAGGGTGGGTCAGACTTTAGTCGGGAAACTTAATCGATAGCATACGCCAAAATAGTATGGATTTGTCACATAAACTTATAATTAAAAATGCTTACTTTTCGAGATAGAGGGCGTTAAAGTTTTAATTCATATTCAGTTTTTCCCGTATTTCTACGGAAGTGAGTGAGATATTATTATGAAATTTGGAAGATGAACGTTACGTACATCAGTACATTTTTCACCATAGTTTTCATATCTTCATTCCAACCAGAGGCGTGACGGTGGGGGGTGTCAAGGATATTCTTCCCCAAAAAAACGGATTGCCACTAACCTAAGCTATTTTTCTTCCTTTTTCGATATTTACTGTCATTAATGTACAAAAAATGCTTATATTTTTTTGATAAGATGCAACGTCTTTGATTAAACTCATTTCAAAATCATTCATCCCCTACTTATCAATTAGCTGTTAATTGAGAATCGTTTAAAAAAATTACATGGTTTTGCATTCTTTCACTAATACAATTTTGAATGGAGAAACGAAGACTATGGTTCTAGGTGTATATAACTTGCCGAGGGGTAGGACACTTCCGATAATTTGTACACCTATTTATAAATACAAATGTATTTACAATCAACTGTAAAACACCTAGTAAAATATTAAATTGTTTGCAATTATGAAATGCAAGTGCAAATTTCATCTGCTGTTTAATAAAATTATATTTGTTTTAATTACTAATCTTACATAACTGAATAACTGAAAATATCCAACACAAAAAATTTTTTTCCAGGAAAACAAAGAGAGCTTCTATCTTAAAGTAATAATTTCCAGTTTCATTTTTGATATATACATCTAATATGTATGACTGATGGTCGGTCGAGTGGCAAGGACACTTGACTCTCACCCAAAACTCCCAGGTTCGAATCCCGGCCGTGGCACTGGGATTTTTCTGTGAGAGAGCTTAATCGTAGTATACTCGGATATTGGATGTATGTCCGTTGTCTCTAAATGTGTAGCCCCCCTCTCGCACAACGTCAGTTAGAGATACAGGGGGTTGTATTATCTGTGGTGTTTATTATTGGTGTTTATTAATAATAATAAACATTGTCAGCTTACCTTTATTTTATAACAGGTCACTGGAAATTTATTTTCCAGTGACAACACCACTAAAACGCGAGTGTTACAATTGCCGGCAGTATAATGAAATGCATACGTATGTCTTGACAGAATTTATTAAGTATTTATGTTGGTATTTAAATCTATTTAAATGTATTTAAATCTATTTAAATCTATTTAAATGTATTTAAATCTGTGTAAATGTATTTAAATCTGTGTAAATGTATTTAAATCTATTTAAATGTATTTAAATCTATTTAAATGTATTTAAATCTATTTAAATGTATTTAAATGTATTTAAATCTATTTAAATGTATTTAAATCTGTGTAAATGTATTTAAATCTGTGTAAATGTATTTAAATCTATTTAAATGTATTTAAATCTATTTAAATGTATTTAAATCTATTTAAATGCATTTAAATCTATTTAAATGTATTTAATCTATTTAAAAGTATTTAAGTAAATCTATTTAAATGTATTTAAATCTATTTAAATGTATTTATTAAATACTTTTACAAGATTTGTACACCTATTTAAGAAGTGTCTTACCCCTCGTAACTTGCACCTTCTGAATGTCACAACAATGTCTCAATTATTTCCGGAGAAATACTCCCTCTATCTCGAAAACTAAGCATTTTTAGCAATAAGTTTATATGACAAATTATTTTGGCGCGTTCTATTCATTCTCTAAATTTCCCGATTAAAATCTGACCCACCCTGTATAATAAAATTTTTCAAATACGTATTGTAAAGAAACTTTTTATTGAAATCAGCCCTATTCAGCGCAGCCAGTACCTTTTTGTACGCCAATAAACTCGCATAACTCTCCTCAACACCTGGTTTTTGTTTTTATTTTGAACACATGGGCTTACATTTACGATTACATCTGACGACGACGACCATTGCCAATAACAATAACAAACGTGCACAGCTTGGAAGCTTTTAGGAATTTAACTCTTGCATTTTGGCCCTGTTTCATTCACACCAACCAAAATAAATAAAACGTTATATAACTGATCCCAATAAAAAAAAGTTAACCAGCTGTTTTTACATATTTCGTCTGTTACATATATATATATATATATATCTACATCATCATTACAAAGAGGTAAACACTATCGAAATGAGTTGTTAACACGTTAACCTTATTTTTGGTGTTTATTCAAATTAAGTGATTTCTAACCAAATGTGTGTATTTATTAGGTAATGTCGTAGTATTTGGCTAAGAATTTATGTAGGTTTACAATTGTATAAAAGTAAACTCTGTATTTACCAATAGTTACAAAAGCGTTGAGCAATTTAGAAAACGGCTGACTTAGTTATGTTATTTATATTTCAGTTTATACAAGATTTCCAAAATTGTTCTCAAATTCCGAATCATTTCAAATACTCCCAGTTATTTTATCGGCCAACAATTGAATAATTAATGTTAAATATGTATATGTAAATTTGAACACAATATTGTTAATCGATGAAGGTATAATTTTGTCACTATTTCTTTATTTACTGCAGTAATTTTTTGCATTTCTGACAGTTATGCTACTCCTGAGAGGTATTCCAGCGTGTTTTATATGGAAAAATGCCCACAAATTATCGTTGCATTTTTTTTTTGTTTCGTTAATTGGCAGATGATTATAGAGATTGGATGAAAAATCGAACGATATCATTCTCCCGTGTTTAATTAATAACATATTTAGATACATTGCAAGAGATATACAGAGTCTTCATAAATGAAAAGACCACGTGCTCAGTTGGTACCTTTAATTCATGATTTTGTGTCTAAGAAATCGTTTTCAATCATCTTTTGTGAATAGCAGGATTGGATGAGGCTGTTAAAGGGAACTAATTGGTCACGTGGGTTTAGACCATTTATGAAGACCCGTTACATACTATTAGTATAACTTTTTTTGTGGGGATCGTGTTAAACTTGCTGAAATTAAGAAATTAGAAAATCCCCTGGGTTAACTTTTATAATGTTCCGGCAAATGACCTTGAAATTCAAAGTCATTCACCGTTACTGTATTTTTATTAATATTGGGTGTTCACAAAACCAACCTACGCGAGGATGGCACCCCATTTTTGAATACAAATTCGTTTACTCGTAATTGCTTGTCAGTTACTTTCGGTTGCTCATTGGTGCTTATAGAAAAACTACAGAGGGAGTTGAAATTGGTAGCAGCTGACTTTTCCAATGTGCAGTGTCCAATTCGGTTGCTTGTCTATTTTCTTTGTTTCCTCGATGTTATTTACAACTAAAAAAATATATAATATTAAACAGTGAAGAATTATCTAAATATATCTGACTAGCACTTTTCTTCACACTATTCATTTGCTCGTTGTTTGCTCCTCCGTGTTCGTACACTCGTTTTATTTGTTTGTCATTTTTTATATACAAATGTCCAAAACTGTGAGTGGGTGAGGAGTGACGCAGTCAAAACGCCTTTGAGCAACGATTTTTTTCTAGTTAATCGTTTAATCCTTGCTGTTATCAATTTTAACCGCGTCTGTGGTTATTTCTTGGGTTTTTCTACAAGCAGCAACGAGCAAACGAAAGGAATTCACGAGCAAACAACTTGAAAACGGTTCGTATTCATAACTGTTTTAATTTCGAAAATTGGGAGACCAACTTTACGGACGTTCACGGTCTTAAAACTACGGAGTAGCCCTTCTAATTTAATTTACAGATATATCTGGCCACACGTGCCCTATTCTGTCCTGAAGTTGTAGGTTTTCAAATTGTTTTCTTCGCCCTTCACAAACTTTGTCGTCTACTGCCAACTCTTCTAGCAATTGATCCATTTTCGACTAAACAGCGCGATTGAGCACTGGAAACTGTCCACAGTTTATTGGGAAATCCCATACAAATTGTTTTACCAGCCCGGTAACAATTTCAGTTAGTGATAAATCTCTCTTTGTGTCTGATGCCATCACAATAATCACGAAAGTAATGCTTTACTTAACACAAATAATTAATAAAACTATGTGACCTGTCTATTGATGCTCTTTAATACTGCTAAGATATTCATTTGTTTTAAAATCAGCCTATTTATAATTTTTTGTTTTTCGTCCCCGGAAAACCTAATCGGTTTTCCGGGGACGAAAAACAGAATTTAAAAATTCCTAACCTCTTTGTTTTCCATGATTAAGGAGTAAAAATTACCATGCTTATTTTTGGGTTCTTATTCGATATACTTATATATAAAATTTAATCTCTGTATTTTCTGGGCTATTTTCATTGCAATTGAAGATATTGACCGTCACAACAAGATGTATTTTTTGTAGCCAATCGGTATAAACGAAGCAAATGTAGTACTGACTTTTGTGCACTTTTATAAAATAAACAAAAATGAGATGAATGTTCTACATATTTTTTCCAATATATTCATAAGAATGTCCTTTTCCCATGTTAAACAGGTGAAGACTTAAGGTATAGGCAACCAGTTATATCCACATGCCCATAAATATTTTTTAAAATAATTGAATAGTCACATTATATTAGAGTCGTCATTAATTAGTCTACGAAGAAATGTTTAAAGAATGAATTAGCACATGCATATATCAAAGTGAATTTTTTTTAAAATGAGTATCTCATTTCAACATTCCTTATTTGTGTTGTTAATGTTATCGTTGTTTATTTACACCGAGATTTATACTGAACTGCAATATTGGATTTAAACGAGCAGATCTAAATTTACATCGATAATGGTGCTTCTCTGTGACGAATGGATAAACTAATTAATATCGATACTCTCGTTATTAAACCTCGGATTAAACGCACAGTGTCCAGTGGTTCTAAATTTCCCTGATCTCAGAGCCATTAATTTTGAACGCACTAGTACTTAAAGTACACTCTAGAGTCCCTCAATCAAAGGTCTGGCCATACAGCATGCGGCAGCCATGATTATTATATTGTGCAATGGTTAGCAGTCCAAGAAAATGAGGTGAGGAGAAGCTGACAGTTAATTAAGTAGTGATTGAAAATGTTTTGTAGTTGTTCAGAATTAAAAACTGAGTATAATGATAGAAAGTTTCAGCTTTGACCGACCGGAGAAGTATGCAAAAGAAATTAAAAAAAAACATTTTAAAAAAGGTTACGCCGCGACCCTTCACCCAAAACGAGTCAAAAAAATTCATGGATTTTCTACGCATTGTGGAGAAGTTTTCCGCAATGATAAATAATTTTTTGACCAAAAATTCAGCAGAATTAAAGTTAAGATATCTTGGATATTATTTATCGTAAACCAAAAAAAATGTGCAAAATGAGGATCGTTTAATACTGATAAATCTGATCCCTTGATATTTTATTGTAAAAGCTATAGTTTCGCAGTAAAAAATTCATAACTAAATGAAAGTACCATTTTATTCAATCCCAAGCATTAAAAATGTTAACAGTTTGATTTACCAAAGACTGTCAACTTGTTTGAAAACTTGCTAACAAAGAGTATATATAATAATCCTTTATTCGGATTTTTTCCATTATATTACAATTTTTTTAAATAAACAATTAATTGTTATAAACAATTTGAGAAAAATCGTAATAATGGTAGCAAAAAAAGTCCTTATATTTTCCTGAAACTGAACTCGCATAAGATTTAAAAAAAATTACAATTTTTTAAAATATTATCTGATATTGGATTAAATTTTTACAGCTGTAACAAAATTGTTTTTTTTTCGCCAGCCCATTATTTCTAGCATACTTCCTGTTACGTAAATATTTGAATGCCTGTCAAAAACATTTTACAGCCGGAATACAAAAGTTCACTTTTTTAACTTAAATATAAGTATAATTTGTCCAAGTTTTGGAACGACGCGGTTTTATAT